TAGGGTTTAGGGTTTTAGGGTGGGCGCTTTTCCCACATCAAGGGCACCCCAATAAAAGGCATATGGGAGTTTCTGAAGATGATAAGATTTACAGGCCCTCAGTATTAGGATTATGTAATTAGGGATAAATTTCTTGCAAGTACCTATACTATACAGCACATGTGGGGAGTCTGTGTAGGGCTTTTTGCGTTCTCGCTGAGTGCCTGGCCACCTGCTTTTAAGGAGATGAGCAAAACCTTCAACGTGGGCTCTGTCTGGAAGGAGACAATGATGTTGTTCCTGGAAGGCCCCAAGGTTAAGGCTTGATAATTTTCAGGCAAGCGAGAGAAAGCTGATGCAAAACCCTAATCCCAGAACCAGCGGGGTCCGTGACACGATGGGCATGCTTCCCAGCACGGTGGCTGCAGAGATACCTTCCCTCTTCAAGCGCCATTCGATGAGCTCCAAGAACCGGCTGAACTGCGAGAAAACCAGTGCCTGAAGCAAGGCCCCCAAGCCACTTTGAGACTTTGCACTGCATGCATTGCCCCCTGCCTTACTGGTAGGATCTGCTTGCTGCATCTTCTGGATCTCCTTGCCACTACCCAGCTTTGCAGCAGAGGGTCCACAACTTGCCAACTGCGGGCAGAGCTCCTGGAGCAGGGCCTCAATTTTGGTGCTGCTCTGGAATTCCGATGTTTTGATCTTCTGCATGATGCCTGGCATGTAGAGACATGTGATGCTCAGAGCGTTCACATAGAGTTTTCTACCCCACATAGACTGTCATGTCACCCAACTGTGACTGGCCACCTATAGCCCAAAATGAGTCTGGACCGTCATGATCAGACCCTGCGCAATCGCCGTGCCAGTACTCTACTGCTAACAACAGCATCAATCTATAACCATCGGCGACGAAAACAGCAGCAACCCTTGTTCCTCTGTCTTTCCAGGGGCCGCGTCCCCTAAACCCTAAACCCCAAGCCCTACATCCTAAACCCTAAACCCCAAACCCCAACCCTAAACCCCTCAATCGCTGGCTGCGCCTTTCCGACGTCCCTTCTCCAGGACTGCTGCACCTTTTGCCAGCGAAAAGTGAGCATGTTGAGGGGGCAAAAACACGTTGGATCCCTCTTTGAGCTATAGTCTAAACTCCTTAAAGGGGGTTATATAGGGACTACTACAGGGGTTATTAAGACAAATACTAGGAGTTTAGATTTATGGCTCATTTCGTGGACCCTCTCATGAGGAGATAATACTTTGAGATATCAAAGCAGAGAACCTCTGTCAGGTTGGGTAAGAATACGGTTGGAACTAAGGGCCCCTAGTATGGGCCCTCAATTTCGGGGTCCTTTTCTACCTCAACGTTGGCCTATAAAACCCTAGAACTCCATATAAGAGCCCATAGTTAGGATGTAGGGGCCCCCACTAAAGGGCCCACTGTGAGGATTTTTTAATTGGAGCCCAAAGCCCTGAACCCTAAATCCTAAACCCTTTTGGTAGGGGGAGCATGCTTCCTAAACCCTAAACTCCTAAACCTGAACCCTAAAGCCTCAACCCTGAACCCTAAACCCTAAATCCTAAACCCTAGATCCCCATAATCCCCCCAAAGGCCTTTGGCAGCCTGCTCGGCCTCGAAATCTTCCGGGATGATATCATCCTCGGCCCCCCAAGTTTTGAAAATTTACTGACATTCATTAGGGTACATTTTGGGTTTAGGGTTTACGGTGTACAGGTGTTGTTACGTCGCCTCTTTTACCCACAGCAAATCTGGTAAGTAAAGCCCGAAGCGGGTCCCATCCAGAATCTAGACAGCACTCTCGTGGAAGGGAGGCAGGACACAAACATCGCAGAGTGCGGCGGCCACTTACGGGAACAAAGCACAAGGCAACATCCCCTATACCCACCAGCAACTCTACAGATCATCCCCGCTATTGTTTTTTTTCCCAAGTTAGGTATGCCTTTTTGGGACACCCCGTACTAAGGATCATACTATGTTGGGGGTCTACATTATATTGCGGTCCCCCCTGATGAAAATCTCCATTCTTCTCACTAAACCCTCAACCGCAATGTTCAGGGAACTTCCGGCATTCTCCGAGACACTGGAGTGCTCTATGCTGACTTCTGACTGGGTAACAGAACTCCAGCAGACTCTGAACCTTGGGCCCTCTGTACTTATAGTCCCCCTGAAGTAGGTAGAATATGGCTTTGGGTATATCATAATAAGCTCCCGATATACCCCATATTCTATCTACTTAAGGGGGACTATATTCCCCACAAGCCTCTAAACCCTAAACCTTAGTGCCGCTTCAACATGGGCCCCTGAGGAAGCCTTCCCCCCCCCCCATTTACCATAATAGGGGTATATAGTATTAGTTAAAGTTACCACATAATGGGTATATAGTTTTAGATAAAGTTACCATAAAATGGGTATATAGTAGTAAATAAAGCTACCATAATATGGGTATATAGTACATAATGGGTCTTCCTTCTATAGTAACTTGAATTAAGTAATATGGGTTTATAGTACATAATGGGTCTTCCGTGTTAAAGTAACTTGAATTGAGTAGTATGGGTTTATGTATATCATGGGTCTTCCTTTTGTTATAGTAAGTTGATTTAAGTTCCTTAACAGCAACCCGGTCCATGGCCGCCACCTCATCCTGGTCTTGCTCCTCCTGGCATGTGACTGCAAAGGCTCGAGCTGGACAGCTGGGTTGACTAAGATGACGCAGAAGCTTCTCAAGAAAAGGCCTAGGGCTAACGGTTTAGCAGCTTTGCGGAGCTATGAAGTTTTCCATTGTAGTCCATTCAAGAATCCACCACGCCGATTTGAAGGAACTCATTTCCGAGGCAGCCTGCTGCAACAGCCCTCAGCCCATCGACCCCGCAACTTATCTCGCAGTCATAAGCCAGGTCTTCTAGAAGCAGCTCCCTAAGCGATAAACCCTAAGCCCTAAACGCTAAAACCCAACCTTTGCCTTGTGAACCCTAAACCCTAAACCCAACTCTGAAACCGCTTTCGCACCTGACCCTCCGCCCAGGTCATCGGGGCGAAGCATGTTGGGCCTTGGAGGATGGAGGGTTTAGGGTTTTGGACTTGGGGTTTAGTAGGGTTAAGGGCTTAGGATTTAGGGTTTAGGATTTCGGGTTTAGTAGTTAGAGTTTAGGATTTAGGGTTTAGGGTTCGTGGGGAATGAGGGAATCTATTATATAGGGCTTATAATTATGGGGATTAGATTCCCTTATTCCCTTCCAACCAATAAGTTGATCGTCCAAGTACCCCAAAGGAGCGTGCGGCTTTGGTTTGCGGGACCCTTTTCCTGTCTGTGAATGTTCGGAATGACGTGAACAGTATGGCCCTGAGCATCATTAACCCTACGCACACACAGGGTTTAGGGCCATTGAATACACGGGGTTTGGGGCTTAGAACTTTCAATCAAGTAGTGGTATAGGATCCCGGATAGCCCAAGTTCTGTAGTTTCTACGGTGGAAAGGGTGGTGCTGACCGCCATGGTTCATCTAAGGAGGGTAATTAATAATCTCAATACCACTGAACCCTAACTTTAAAATCTTGATCAGTAAACCCAAAATCCTGCCCTAAACCCCAAAACCCCCTGACCCTAAGCAAGCGGTAATCTGCTTCTAGCACATCCCAGGCACATCCGACGCCGCCACTTGGAAGCTGCGGTGCCTGTTCAAGATACCTCAGCGGCTTGCTTGGGAGCCTCCAAATTGTCTAGGGTTTTTGTGCAGTTTGAGGCCTCACATGATGCACATACAGAATTTTCCATATGCCCATAGAATGCCCGAGAACAATCTCTGCCCTAGAGCTGTTCCCCATATAGCTTTGCTAAGAAAACCCTAAATCCTAGCCCTGAACCCCCAAATGGGAGTCCACAAAGTCTCGAATTTACGTCTTTCAGCTGGGGCCACGGCTCTTGCAGACATTCTCGGTGGAAGGCATGCCCACATGAGGCCCTTGCTTGATGACGCCGCTCCTTCCGAGTCTGAGGATCTGGAAGGAATAAGGAATCCCATTTGGCTTGCGGCCATGGTGTGTCCAGTACCTGCCTAACGTAGCAGCCGCCAATATCATGGTTCCACATTTCTTGGATGATTATACTACATAGTGTACCTCAAATAAGTTTCCAAATGAGATTGGTAATTATTTAGGCCCCCTATAGTACCTTCATCCACTTCTCTCTGGACTCAAAACCCTATAAACCCTGAATCCTCTAAACCCTAACACCCTCATCCTCGATGTCATCCTGGCACAGCGCGCAAACCTCCGAGCTGCCTAGACGCTGCACAAACACCGCTTTGAGAGCCCTCCATCTGCCAAAGCACAACCACACAGATCAGGGCAAGACACCACAAAATCATCTTACACTATCATGATAAATTTGAATATATGAGTCATTGAAATAGATAAACCCATGTGTATACATATATATATATATGTATATATATGAATACATAATATGTATGTGCATAGGGTGCAGGTGGAGAATAGTGATGAACATCATCCTACCACCATGTCTAAGGCGAGGGCCGTGGCTCTTGCTAGGAATCACCCCCGCGTTGTCATCCTCTGGAAGCTGGAGCGTATTTGGGTTTAGGGTTTAGGGAACCTAATTAAGCGTTAAACCCGTTTCTTTCATCCTCAAGGTATACCCTCTGTGTTCAGTAGATGCAAATGCCCACTCTTCTTCTGGGAAAAAGGATGTCTGAACAAGTAAGGCGCGAACTGTCCCTTTTAGGGAGCCGTGAACAATCAGGTAGGGGTGGTCCACCTAAGCTTCTGATGTTTGGCCTCCGCTCAGGTCGTAGCAGCTGGGAGCCCGGCTGCCTGCCTAAGCCTCATGATCAAGTCGAACCTAGGCGGGGCATGTTCAATGCACGCGATTTAGGGTTTAGTGTCTAGGAAGTGCATGTCGCAAGGCCCGCATCAGGCTGCCACACATGGGCGTAGTTGTGGAGCACGGTCCCACCTTCGACGTAGGTGTCAAACTGTGTCCGACCTTCCGCGGTTTTGGCACGCAAAAAGCCGTGACGTTTTAGCCAAGCATGCTTGCCTTACTGTTGGCTAGTAGGGAATAACGAATTATGATCCCTATATATCTTCTACACAAGTATAACTATACCAATAGCAATAGTATGGTAGATGGTCAGTGGAGTTTCCACGCTCCCTTACTCTTTACTGGCCCAACGTAAGTCGGTGTACCTGCGGTGTACATGGCTGTGTAGAAGTCCTGCTCTTGGGCCGACAGGGAATCCTTGCCTGAGCCCGTTGCGCTGTACTAAGGTTTAGGCTTCGGCGTTTTGTTGTTTTTTTGTTTTTGAAGTTTAATCTTTTAGGCTTTAGGGTTTGAGTGCGTTAGTTTTTTACAAGGTTTGAGCATTTAGGGTTGGAGGGTTTACGGCTGCCAATGACTCTTTCTTTATAAGGCGCTGGCGGATTCGAACGGTCAGCGCCGGCAACCTTTGAGCAATTATCCCCCTGGTGCTTAGGGGGGAATGGGGGAATGGATCCCTCAAATAGTCCCTATGTAATCCCTAATAACAATCCCTAATCCCTTATAAACCCTAACCCTCATCCCTAAACCCTGAACCCTAAACTCATGGCATAGGCGGGCGACCTTCGATGGTGGGCGGCGCTTATGCCCCTCGACATCGATAGCGCAGGTCGATCCACGACGCTCGCCTGCCTTCCCACAGCCGGGCGTACTGAAGCACCCACGAGAGGCCAGGTACCTGGAGGAGTTCTCCTCGGGACCAGTACTGGAAGTCATTACCCTAAACCTAGCCCCGAAGCTCTGGGCGCCGCTGGCTGATTTTTTCAAGGTGGATCCTGGGGGAGGTCTGGGGGGTCCAGGGCCTCCTCTGCGAGCGAATTCCACAACCAGGCCTGAGCCACGAGGGGGAGGTCAGCGGTCCAAATTTCTCACCACACCCAAAAACAACAAAAAACAATAAAACGGGACGGCCAGGGTTTTTAGGAGCATCCAGGCGTCTCCAGAGCCCTGCAGAAACCTTCAGGCGCCTCAAAGGCCTCGTGAGGGGTCTCCAAAAGCCTGCAGCGCCTTCAGGGCCTCGGTCCAGGCGCCCCAAGCTCCTCCAGAATCCTCCTTCCAGGAACCTCCAAGGGCCTCCTCCAGACCTCTTTCAGCTTCTGAGAACCTTCAGCGTACAAATGAAAGGTGTTGTTGTTGACCAAGATGGACCTAACTGAGTTTAGGTCCTAAACCCTAAAAGAGATAGGTTTGGGTGGTTTGCCGCCCGAACGGCGTGGTGTGGGTGATTGTGTTAGATGGCCTTCTACATTCAGGCCATGGCAGCACCTCGCATGCAGCCATGCACTTGAAGGATCAT